AGCCTAGAAATGTTTTTACAGTTCCTTTAAAAGTTAATATTATATATACTATATACTACTGTATATAGATACATTTTAGTCTCTGCTCTGCTCTAGATTCACTGTCAATTAGTTTGTGATTAATTAATCCATATTCTATTGTACATATTGCACCATTCATGTACATTATGAGGCAAATTCTAATTATGTCCCAGTCTTAAGGGCCTATATTTACAGCCTACAGTAGTTTTCATTTTATACTGTATTATGGTTTCTTTGTGCAGGTTATTAAATAATTTTATGTTTAATCATGTTACTACAAACCAATTACTGATCACTTAATAATTCATACAAAATGCTTTGCTGCATTTGTGTAGAGTTGTTAGATTTAACATTATGTATGGCTTTGTGCAGTACAAAGAAAAAAACTAAGGCATATCAAATCTAGTAACAAAAAGACAATCCCCATTAAGCATTCAGAGGATGTCTGCATCTCAGCCAGCAGTGAATGGTTTCTGTAGAGGAAGGTCAAGACCGTTATGATATGGGCTTTATTTTTTTACATTAAACTGCTCATTTCTCAGCTACAGCTGAGTGGAGGAAACTCACTATATTGATGCAAAAATGCAGTAAAAGCCTTTTTCTCTTAGGGTCAGCTGTTATCGTTGCATGTTAACAGGAAACTTATGGCCCTAAACGTTCTTTTTGTAGTTGCAAAGTGATAGCAGGGCAGGCAACTGATTAGAGGCTCCCATGTTACGGACCTTTGTAATGATTCCCCCTGACCTCAGATGCCCTGCTTGAATGTCCTTGAGCAACACACTGAATTTGAACCAGGGGAACCAGAGGAAATGACCTACAGGCGTCCTCCAGAAACAGCGAGATGAAAAGTAAGTGGGAAACATAGACCTTAGATATAGTTACATGTCACAGTGGTGTAATCTAACCATGCAGCTCACAGGACCCTCTGCACTATGCTTGTATTCCCTATAATTATCTCTTGGATGCGATCAGAGAAGCACTTCATTGCACCGAAGGGAGCTGCTCGTGCCTTTTTCTTGGCCTTTCACAGATGAGCCTGAAGCTATTCACCTTCACGTCTGCACATGCTGTATATTTTATTTCACATGCCATGTGGATTTTCAAGTTGTTTAAAAAGTGAAACGCCAAAATGGAATCTGAGTCTCTTACTATTTCAGTGCTTGGGTCAAGTTGTTTCATAACACACCGGTTTTATTAAATCATCTTTAAAAGGTTATTGACACTAAGTGTAAGCCTTGTCTGAATAGGCTTTAAGTTCACTTAAAACTATAATTGAAGCATAGGATTATTTTTGCAACATATTGACTTGTGGGATTTATCGACCACCAGAAACACAATATCTGCTCCATGAGAATAAGTTTAAATGTTTTCATGCTCAACATTTGATCTGGACAAAATTCAGACAATAGGTGGAACACAAACCTGCTATGCAACTAGTTATAAATGTGCTTTAAAAATGAATGAAAACCCGAGTGAGGAAAACATTTTGGGTTTTCATTCTGATTATTTTTGCCCCCCTTTTTTTAACTAAATGAAAACAAACTTTCAGAGTGAAGCAGACAGCAGATGAGAAATTGAACAGTGATATGGGGCAGGAACAGATTCCAGGAGACAGTCAGGAGAAAGGATCATCGGTGCCAGCCTGTCCTCCATGGAGCATACCCTCCTAGCATCTGAGGACCCCGTTCCCCTCCATCTAAAGTGTGTGTATGCACATGTTTTATATTTATAAGTACTTTATTTTTTGTTATCCTAATGCACATTCCTTTTTCTTGTTTACACCTTCTTTTTCTTTTCTTGTTCTCTCAGTCTTATCTTGTTTACTCGTTGTTTTACGGGAGAACATTGTACATACACATTGAGAGCCGCTGTACCAGAGTCAAATTCCTCGTGTGTTCAACACACCTGGCCAATAAATTTGATTCCAATTCTAAGATTTGTACAGTGAGACATTTTCAGTCAGGACAACTAAATTAAATACTCTCTGACTTTGCTTTTGTTCACAAAGAGGGGATGAGATTAAAAGACCCTGGGCACATAGCAGACCTGCAAAAGATGTTTCTTAAAGAAAAAGAAAAAAGCTGCCAGTCACCAAAGAGGTCATCCATTGTGTGCTCTAGTTTCATAAATGTCCAAGCTTTGAATTATATGGCTTTTTAGTGAAACAAGCACGTTTTGACAGGAACTGACACATGCTGACATTCTTTCAATTACTCCTCTGCAGCCCTTATCAACATGAAGAGAACTTCCTCCAACATTGTTAGTCGCAACATGGCAGGACATTTTGTTGTGTCTGGTGATTTATGTGTTCAAGGAGAGAATATACTCTTTTGGTGCTTCTTTTTTTCTTTGTATCCTCCTATAAAATCTGCCTAGTTCTCTGACAGTGACCACCCATGCGGTGTGTTGCCGAACCACTCCTGGAGATTCTTGACACTGAAAAGTAGTCTAATGTTCCAGATGCTTCCAAGTACATGGTCCAAGAATATTTAAAACCTTTTGGAAAACAGTATGACCTGTAAGCTTTAAAGAAATGTTAAAGCTGATGTCTTATCTGGAAAAGTGTGGCTGCCTTTGTATAAATCAATAACTTACTGTATGTTTGGTGTGTGTAAGGTACCTCCACACAAATCTAAAAGAAACTGTTTTACATTTCAAGAAATACTTAAGCACTGCTCCCATATCTTAATTTAGTTTAGCATAACCACAACTGAAAGCAATGATTTTCACTTTTACACTTTGGCTTTTGAACAAATTAAGCAAACAAGATACAACATGTTAGTTAGTGAGCTTTAGAGGTGAAGGTATGCAGGTTTTGCAGAGAAAGCTGTTTCCCACTGTCTCCAGTCTTGCCATGCTAAGCTAACATGCTGCTAGCTGGCAAATATTGAGTGCACAGGCACAGGGATGGTTTCAATCATCTCATCTAACTTGAAGCAAAAGGTGTATTTCCTTAAAGGTCAACATAATGGCAGAAAAAATGTGTTGTAAACTGCAGTGAATAAATAGTGTCATGAACCATTTGTGTAGGTGTACTGTGTTTTATATGTACAAATGTTGCAAAATACTACCCGATCCTGTTAATGTGTGATGTTCCTTCTGCAGCTGATTGAGAGAGTACTGCTAGTGGGCGAGCTTTATCAAAGCCCAATGTCGATCAGTGGCAAGGTTTTCAGCTGCAAATGGGGAAAATATCATAATGGTAATTCAGAGTCATTATCAGGCTGCAAGAATAAAGAGCTCCTCTGTTTGGATGCTGTTTGGAGTCTGACCAAGGAAAGGCCAGCTGGACACAGAAGAGATGTACTGTCCCAAACTGTTTTCATGAACTGCCTTAGAGACAAAATCTTCTCAATTTCCACGCTGCCCTGAACATGAGAAGAGGAACAAAACTGTATTCAAAATAAAAAAGACGAGGTGAAGAGAGAGCTCATTATTTGTGTGCACAAGAATGAACATGTCAGGCTTGTCATGGAGAAAAAGGAAACATTCATAGGGCTGTTTGTTCATCATCAAATGCAGTTTATGCATTTTGCTAAATGAGCCTTAACCTTAACAATTAATAGAGTTAGCAGAGTAAATAATATAGTGTTGTTCAGATGTGGCTATGACAGCGAACAGAGAGAGAGAGAGAGAGAGAGAGAGAGATACAAGCGTTGGTTATTATCCACCAATTTTTAAGTAGCATATAATGATCTTTTGTTTTAATCATTTAAAGAAAAAGAAAAGATAACACTAGTTCTTCTGTCTTTCTGTCGTTCTGTCCTTCTGTCCTTCTGTCCGCTTCCTGGTGACAGCCAGTGGGCATGCCAGGAACAGGACCAGCTGGTGTGGCACCTACTGTACTGTAGATGTGGTGTGGGGAGTTTATTTCACTATAGATGAGTTGTTTTGTCTTTTCACCCTTGGCTCCACACTGTGTGGCCTCCTCTGACTGTCTTCTTTCACCCTACTTTGTTTAGCAGGGCCATTGGGTAATTACTCTAAACTGTAGTAGTTAATAAAGCTGCTTGTAACAGCATTCAGATTGGATATTCTGACAGCTGTGTTTCTTTATCAGGACTGTAATCCTCATGTTTGGGGTTTAGCTCAGGCTACATGTGTTAAAACTGCAATGATTTTAATTTGGGCTTCAGCTTTAAAGCATAAAAACACAGCAAAAATTGGAATGAATATTTGCTGCTCAATGTTGAACAGCACTTTTCTGCTAAAATAAAATATGGCTGTGAACTTTGTGTGCTTGAGTAGAGGACTTCAGCATTTCTCAACTGTGGTAGAATAATATTTTTAATGAGGTTTGACTGGCTACTTGTAAAAGCTTGTTTGTCGGTTTGGAGTGTGAGACTTGACCTGCAGAGTTGTATGCAGTGTTTTTACAGTGGCCTAATTTCATCGAGTGGGACTGAATATGAGGACATGGATACTGCCAGGGAAGAATGTGATCCTAATGTATGTCTGTGTGTGTGTTGTTGCATACAGTATATTGTCGCATGTACTTGTTAAAAGTCTTCTTTTGTTTCTGTGTATGATTTTTGTGTGAGAATATGCATGTACACATGCATGTAAAGTAAGTTCCATTGCTGAGCACTCTGGGAACTAGAGGGGTTTTTCTAACACAAACACACAGAGGCATGGACTCACTGATGGACTAATGCAGACACAGAAGGCTTAAAAAAACAACCGAGTGAACGGCCAGCAAGGACATGACAAAATAACCCTCAAAGTCCTGTCGACTCCAGCTCTGAGAGCCCAGAGTACACTATTCACAACAGCAGACAACTTGCCCCTGGCTCAAGTTTCACAGCCATAAACTATTTCTGACCATGCTTCGACTGACACTGACAAGAAAAAAAACATCTTTGCAAATGCATTGTTTTAGATTGTACAGTATTTACTTTTAGTTTTTATTTGTTGTTTAAACAAAAAATGAAATTGTTAGTCTTTTTGTGAATAACAAATTATCTAAAATCACATCGTGTTTCAAGGCAAATTCAAAATAGCTGAGTTAAAATGAAAAGCTAGATCGCCATGACTGAAAACTTTATTTCCTTTAAGAATTCATGTAAAGCTCAAGTATTTGATAAATTCTTTGACTGAGCATCTGATACTCAGACATTTTCAATAATTAGAACAAATACATCAATAAGTTAATACAGCGAAACGTGTTATGGCAAAGAGTGATTCTGTAGTTAAACTAAAACCAAGAGTGGATATACGGTAAAACACCTTAAAGCTAATCCCTTCATAATGCACAGTCACTTTGCCCAAACATATTCATAATGTTCTTGTACAATATTTAAGATCATACAGAGAAAGATGCTGTGTTGGATTTTAAAAACATATAGTAAATGATATAAGCAAGGTTAACATTAGTGAAAACAAGTGACTCCTTTCTGGCATCTTGAGGGATTTGTTGAAAAAACATTAAGACTGTTGAGATGAAACATTAAATAACTCATTAAAACTGAAGTCTCTGTTTTTTCAGTATATAACGTGAGACTCCAATCAAGCCATGTGGCCTATATAGCTAAACTAAGATACTTTATAAGATGCCACACATTTGTGGAGCAGAGAAGAAAATAATTTCCCATTAAACGCAATGCCAATCCTATGTATTGAAAACCCTCAGGAATAGCAAGAGTTATTGCTGCAGCTTATTCTTCACATGTTGATGACAGCACAGTGGCCTCTGGGAAAGTAAAGGATGAAGACTCAATATAAAGAAGTAAACCTACTGTACTTACCTTCCTCAAGTTACAGTTAGACTCACTGTAAATGGCAAAATGATTTACACTCAGTATTAATTTCATTTCCTTAACTGCAAATGACTTTCTGTGACAGTTAGACCACTAAGGACAGTGGGCAAATAAGTCCTTAGATGTTAGATTTTGCAATCCTATAGTGTTGATGATTAGGGTGACAGCTGATAATAAAGAACTAGAACAAACACTGTCAGGCTTAGACATTAGCTGATGTCTTTATCAGACCACGTAAGACCATGTAAGTGGATATAACTACACAGTGGTGTCATATTTACATTATCTGTCTTAATTCTGCTACCTGTCTGGGGTGAACTTCATCACACATTCATTGTGATGACCTTGATCCCGTGAGCGTTGATGTAGGTGAGGAGGAATTTGGCCCGCCTCTCGATCACATCAATCAGCTTGTCGATGCCCTGTCGGCCACCCTGGCTTTCCCAGTAGGTTTGGTCCAGGAACAGAGATTGGAGGAGTTTCTCTCTCAGCCTCCTGCTTTTCAGCACTGATACTGCCTCCTCTGGAAGCCTAGAAACACATAAAAAAACTAGTACTAAACTTTACATCTCAGACACGTCTTAGAGCTGCTCTTGGCTGGGATCATAAAAATCAGACTGATTCTCAACAGGGTAAGAGAAAGTATCCTTTTGGAGGGGTTGAGGTACCAAATGCAAAAAATGTGGTGTTGGAACCAAATTTGTCTTTGCTGCAATATTATCTTTGTTGTTTCTTTATAGTCACTGCAATGTTAAGAGGGTCAGTGTAACCACAGAGACAATAATAACAGCTGTACTGAGAGAACAACAAGGAACAATCAAGGACAGAAACCACTTGTTCCGTAAACATCAGTCTTCTCCAGTTTGTGTGTAGATGCACAGCTTTGAAGCAAACTAAACACAATTTCAACTGAGGGTTCAAGACAGGAGCTGGTACTGGAAGCAAGTGTGAAACCTTAAAATAAATCAGTCATGTTTCATGATTGTGGAAGATGTCCCGTAATATCCAACTAAAGGATGGCCCCCTAAAAATGGTCACAAGAAAAATTTGAAATGATTTTTATACAAAACATTAATCTGAAAAATCACTACAACTGTTTTTGCCCTCAAAATTTCACTGGATAGATGTATGAAGAGGCATAAAACGGAATTAGTAAGCAAGTACATCATAAGTGTACTTAAGTACAGTGTTTGTATAAATGCACTAAGTTACTAAAACTTTGACTGAAATAGAGGGTTACTCATAGTACAGGAACTTTTCAACCATGTTCCAATGAGGGGAAACAGTTGCTGAAAACACTGTTGACCCAGATCTGTACTGTATATACAAATATTTTGTGATCCTAACTTACTCCTTGATTCCCTCCAGCAACCTGAAGTCCAGATTGTCTTCATTACGGTCGAAAAACCCCTTGTTGTTGTTGAAGACCAGGTGTCTGGGGTCATGATCTCTATGGACAATATTTGCTAGTTGTATGCGGTCCTGGTCCCCACATTCAGCACGGTGGCCCGGACCCACACATACATCCTCCCGACGGGGTCTGAACCCACAACAGCTCTGATCCAGACGGCTGTGAATCTGAAAAGGGAAGTTCATACTCTTCAGAGAATTTGCAGTTAATACTGTGAGAATGCAAAGCTGGGAGTGGCATTTACATTTATGGGATTTTCCTCCTAGCGTCTGAGGACCCTGACAAGCAGATAATTTTATTTTTATTTTTCTCTGAAGATGCTTATTTTGTAACATGCAAAGACAACTACACCAAACACACTCTAGCCAAATTATCTTTAATTATATATCTTGAAATTCCTCCACAATCTTTGCTCCGTCATAATTAAGGGGTGAGTTCAACAAGAATTTTCAGGGAATGTGTCCTCAATGCCAAAATGTGATCCAAAGAATCTTCCCACACAGGAAACAAGACATCTATTCATCCAAAGGACAATACCCCTGGGGGTGTTTAATCAAATTTTTTTCAGCAATAACAGCTGTTGCAGCATATTGCTGATGTCAGACAAAAAATGTTGGAAAAAGACATCTAATAAAGCATTTCTGGAATTCATACAAGGCTGGGGAGGCTCTAACAGCATGAGCGCTAACAAGAACCAAGTTCTTTTTTCACATTCAGAGGCATGTGAAATGTATCAAATCTCAGTGTTTAATGTCTCACACTGCTTTTGTTACCTGTAACAAGAAGTCAAACAGAGCTAGCTTGCTCCACTCATAGTGATGGATGCTGGAGCAGCCAGAGTCAGGTTTTGGGCTGATGTTTTTATGCCAACACCTTTGTTTCAGGGAGCTCTGGTACTCCCCCCATGTTAACCTCAAGGTGGAAAAGCCAGCAGCAAGGCCTTCTGGGTAAAGGGATGCATCCCATGACACCACTGGATGGGGTTGGCCATCTACTGAGGGAGAACAGAAGGATTGTATGATCAGGTTACAGCAAGTGTCCAGTGTCAGTTTTTACCCAATTTTTATGAAGACAAAACTTACTGAACAATGCATACGCTTCATCACCCTGATTAACTCCTTACTGAACAATGCATACGCTTCATCAACCTGATTAACTGGACAAAGTGAACAAAGTGCTGACACTGAACAATAAAGTCTGTCTTTCTCCAAAGCACAAAATTGTTGTTGATGATAAACTCCATTAGTGCACATCTCTCCCACTAGATACCAGCTTCAGATTTAATGGATCTTTTAACTTATACATGACATTCATTCCTCCAGCCTCTCCAGTTTTCTTTCCTGTTCATTATTGATGTGCGTTATTGCCAAGAAACACACCCAGTGCAGTTATGAATGGACTAGGTTTTAAAAGTGTCTGAATTTAACCCAGAAACTATGAAACGTTATTAAGGTGATTAATGACCTACCGTGTAAAAAGCTGAACTTTCTGCTTACAGCTGGTAATGTCCTGTTCAATCCCAGCACCCTGTCCAAATGGAAAGCAAAAACCTCGGCGGTGTCCACTGGATTGTTGATTATTCCACACTGTCCTTCGCATACATTGTTCCGTTGTGTGTGTCTTTGGTCGGCCGGTGAAACGTCTGACTCACTTTCAAATAACAGAAGCGATGGAGAGTCTCCACGAGAGACTTCTCTGATGCGCAAAACTTTGGCATCTGCCAGAAAGCGCATAGCTTTCACATCCTGTGCGCTGAACCATGGCGGTGCCCTTTGGCTGTAGATTCGGATAGAACTAAGGTGGGACTCTGTCTCCCCATATTTATGAGATTTTTCAGTTATATCCAGAGCTTTATAATTACCATCCCTGGATTTTTTCCAGGAACCGTTGCGCCAAAAGTTGTGTTTATTTTGGCCCGTGTCCTGCTCCAAAGTGCCCAGTTTGTTATGCGTAAAAACTGAATTGGCCGGTAGATTCTTTCTCACTTTTCTCCTCAGTTTTGGTCTGATTGTACCACGAATATTTGCTGGTTTGCGACGCTTAGACTTAAGGGTTATGTACACCACGTTGGACCGGGTCGGAACCACAACGCTCCCAGCGGTCTGCCAGACTATTGGGTCTGGCAGTGCGTCATTCGTCTCCAGATTATACAGTCCATGGGTCTGTCGGTACCTGTCTTTGCCAGTCCTTCTGCCCCGGTGCTGCTTAGAGTGTCCAACTTGTGAAGCCACAAAAACCAAATAGACAACACATATACCCGCAATTATTAAACTCCTTTTTGAAAGAGGGCACCTCCGAAAGCTGCTGGTCAGTCTTACTAAAGGAAAGAATAGGCAGTGAAAGCGAGACTTCCCCATTAGAACTTATGTTATTATCATGGTTGGGTGTCTTTTTTGCGCCAAACTCAAAGCAGGGAGGAGCGCGCAACTTCCTCTGAAACTCATTTTGGAAGCGTGGATTTGTGGGCACAGTGAGAGAATGATGGGCTGGGAAACCACCCTCCCAACCAAACGTGAAGCAACTTTTCCAACTTCTTTTTTTGCAGATACACACGGGACCTATGGTAAAATGGTATAATAAGCACACAAGGGATACCTTATGGATATGTGGTATATATTAGTTCAGACTGCATTGTGCAGCTGACATTTACTGACTTCACTTGACAACGAAACAGATTAGATGAGTTATGAATGTTTTCAGCTGAGGCAACCACCAAGAATTGGAGACATCATACAGTAGGTCTGCATCCACGCGTTTTAGGCGACATCTGCTGGATATTTCTATAATTCTTTCTATAATTTGGTTGCAGACTATTGAAGTGGTGGAAACATAATCGAATAGAAACGTGAACAGAGAAACTGTGAACAGCAGGAAACAAATCATCTTCTGTGGCAGGGATGCGGGCAGCAGCCTATTTCCGGGATTTCCTGGTCTGAACAACAAGTCTAAATATAGAACTATTGTTCTGTGGCTAGAGAAGTGCTGTCATCTTCAACATCTTCAAGCCTTAACACCTTAACTTTAACATTAATGCTGTTTATTTTTATTTTGCATTAATTCGGAATTTTTAATAGTTCACCTACAGTGTACAAACGTGAGAATGTTATTTTCATAACTTCATCTGACTCATTGAATTTGTGCTAAAATACTGCTTTAAAAATAACTTAGGTTCAATATGAAACTTCAGTACACACACATGATGGACGTCTTAATACTGAAGTGTTTTCTCGGTGTCTTCTGAATGGTTTTTATTCCGGTTGAGGCCTCTGCAGCTGTTAAATGTCGGTTGGAGTGACTAATTGGCAGCACCTGGGTGACTTGGCCACTTCACCACAGCAGACAGACGCGGCCTTCAGCGGTTTTTAACTTTGTGGATTGGCTCTGTCACGAAAACAAATGTTTAGTTTGACCGTGCTCCAAGCAAAATGCACACCTTTGTTTGTGTTTGTAGTTGCATTATTGATGGTGAGCTGTCGCCGCACTGAACATTCTGCAAAGCGAGGTACGTTAAGTTATATTGGTCAGTGAAGTGTGTGGGGTTGAGTGAGGCTGTGTCTACAATGACAGAGTCTTGGCGTTTATTTCCCCCCCAAAAGGTGGTGAACATGTTGGAGCTGGCAAACAGGACGCATTTGATTTCACCGTTAACTCAACTAATATGACCCATTTCGCCTACGGAATTGCTACAAATGTAGTTGCTGTGTTGTTGTACGGAAGCAATTTTGTCCCTGTCAAAAGGATAGAGATCGGAGATGGTGAGCATACAGGTTGCACATGTTTAACATTACAATTTCTATCAAAACAAGTTAAAGCGAGTCTTTTTTTATATGACTTTTAAAGTGGAAAATCCACAAATGGTAGCCAGTTGTCGTTTTGCAGGCCTATTGAGACTGTTCTGTTTTACAGGAATGTTTTTTCAGTGGGTAAACTGTGCAGCCATATGGGTTGTGTCTATGGTTGGAGACTTGATGCTTCAGTCGCCTAAATTCTACCCTTTTGCCATGCTTGGAGGTGTGATCTGGGCTACAGGTATTGTCTCATCAGTGCACAATTTAAAAGTCTAATCACTGCTAGCAGTCCTGCAGTCTGGTCTTGGGAGGAGGCTTCTTATGAGTATCTGGCTGGACTTAAAAGCATAGGCAGTCTGTCTCAAGTTAATCTTAAAATATAGTGATTCGTTTCCTGTGGGAGACGACCAACTCTGAGGACAGTGTGTGCCCCCATTTCATGTATAAATATTGCAAAATACACTCAATACTACTGTTAACAGTGAAAATTAATATCCTTTTGTTTGTTGTTTGCCAGCAGTGATGCCAGGCATCTGCCAGGGACCGTCTCTATATTAAAAGTACACAAGTTCTTTAAGTAGACAGAACTTTCAACATGGTTAAAATGAGAACAGTATAAAACGGTACTGCTGCTGTCTTTTCAAAACCTGTGCACAGAGATGCTTTTCATAACGGATTTGATATTCAACTGAATTGTGCTTAATGTTAAACATATAACATGTTCAGTTTAAGTACCCAAAATTAATGTATTGCATGTCACTGCTCCCTTTACTATACGTCACCTGCAGGGCAGAAATACATGTGACGTTCATGTAAGGTACTGTATACGTGTTGCTATGGTCTCCTTCTCTGTTGCCCACAGGAAATCTGGCAGTTGTTCCAATTATTAAAGCAATTGGCCTTGGTCTTGGGATTTTAATCTGGGCATCCTCTAGTTTGTTGATGGGCTGGGCCACTTCAAGGTGAGTCACATTAATGCAGGTCTTCCACCCAGAATGGAAAATAAGTCTTTCTGGTGACTTTGAGATGAAGTTGATTGTAGCTTGGAAAATGATATTAAGAGACATCTAGGATGTTAAAGGCAGCAGTGTCCCATAAGAGAGTGACAGAGGGTTTTTTTTTTTTAATTTAGCAGTATATTATAATAAAGTGAATGTGGCTGTCTTTCACAGATTTGGCTGGTTTGGAATTGCTGCTCAAGATGCGTCCAGGCCTATAATGAATTACTGTGGTGCTGGGTTGTGTCTGCTCAGGTACACTGACTTTGGAAGAAATGCCTCCCACCTTAGTGCAATAGGCTAAGAGCTGCTACAGCAAAAATAAATAAATGTTGTAATGGAAATATTGTTTGGTTGACAAATATGGTTTTTTTTGTTCCAGTATGCTGATCTTTGTCTTTGTCAAAACTGATGCGAGGTTGCATCCCAATGCAGACTTGATGCCATTGCTTATTGACAGGGTGAGTACATTGGCTGAATGATGGCTTACTCTCTTTTCAGGAAATCATGCTTATCACACTTAGCAAAATGTGGAAGTCAATTAATCCTGTATCTTAGATTATGGAAGGAACCTGTGATGACTCTGTTCTGTTTTGTGTAAACTTTTTTTTTTTTTTTATGTGCTGTGAAAAACATGACTCAATTTGTTTCAGCAGACTACAGATTCAGGCAGTTATGGACCAAGTCCCTCAGAGTTTTGGATTGACTTTGTTGGACGAAAGACCAGGCGGTTCACGTGAGCTCAACTCATTAGCAGTCAGCACGCTGTGTGCACATGTTTGTGAGCTAAAATCAAAGGAGGGATTTCAAAAATCATGGATTTTGATTAAATGATCAATGGATATTAGGCTCAAGGATAAAACTAAATATTTTCAATGAAGCCCTGGTGAGAGGCATAAATTACTGATTTTGCAGCCGCCTGCATGTTTGGTTTAAACGTACAGTAACATGGTTTGTTTTTCAGCAGATGTTTTCTTTTTGATGTGATATTTTTCTTTCTGAAAAGTTATGATTAAGACAACTCATTGACTGCACCAGCAGAAAATGAGCTATGCAACAGAAATACACTAGGAAAAATGTAAGAATTCAATTTAAATGAAGCAGACAGTAAAAATACTAAACACATACTGATAAGACTTTAAAAGTCAAATGTTATAGATGTATACTTGTCACTACCATGCACATTCAGTCTCAACAAGCAGTTTGTCAGCAGTATTGTAAATAAGCAAACGCTGACAGTGGAGATGTAAACTCAGTCTGTCCCTCATCCTTTTCATCAGTGGCTGCCTGCTTGCTGTTGTGTCAGGCCTGCTGTATGGTTCCACCTTTGCACCCATCCTCTACATTAAGAGCCATTCATCATGCCATGACAGCATGTTCTACGGAGCCAGCGTCTATGGTATGGTTTCAGTATTAACTGCCTTTGAGCCAGTATTATACTCGACTCAAAAGGTTAAAACATCACTTCAGATTTAAGAATGTGGTCCATAAATAACAGAACACCCCCCGAAAGACCCAGGTTTAATGTCCACTTTCCTAAATGACTGAGTCACTGAGAGTGGGACTGTTCAAGGATTTGTTTTGCTGCTGTTTGACAATCTTACTGCTCTTTTGCAACTCTAAGTAGCTCTAACGCTGATTTTAATGATACTGAATGACCACAAAAAATAAACTAAAGAATGTGACAGATTGTAGCCTTGTTACTGCAAACCCACAGGGATAAAGAGAAATGATATAAAACTAACCTGTCTGAACTTTTTTTCCACAGAGCTTGACTATGTTTATGCACAGTGCTCTGGCATTTTTATTGCAAGCACAGTGTACTTCACCATCTACTGTGCTGCAATGAATAACAGGCCCAGGGTTTACTCCAGAGCCGTTCTTCCTGGTAAGAGTGTTTTCAGACTGCATGTTTTGCTCAGGCTTGTGGTCTTTTATGTTGTTCCTGACAGAAATGGAAGCTGCTCAACCTGCCTGCAAGGTTCACCTGTACAATCTGCTGCATTCAGTACAACAGTTTTGTAATTGTTGAGGCTCCTTCAGTTTTTGGTTAGACTGACAAAAAGGTGTTGCTCAATTTATAATAAATTGTAAAAAAGCCTAAAGCCAGCGGCCCTGTAGACACCGTTGGTGGCTTGAGCCCATGTGCTCTGTACAGTACAGTCATATTGGTGGCTCCCAGTCTGCTGGGATTTAAGGATCACAGCATCGTCTTTTTTTCTTACCAAAAATATTTTTGCCTGTTGATTTTTATTTGTAATTTGAGTCCCTGAAATCTTAAATTTCCTAAAACAAGCCTTAAAAAAAATCTGCTGGGGCAGTGAGATTTGTTTCCAATGCACAGGAAGGTTCAATGCTTTTTTTTTTTTTTTTTTATATTTTTTAAATAAGATGTTTTTTTTTAAA